CCAACCGTTGATGAGGAGTTAATCCTACCGGACGCTAATGTTTACGTGGATATAACTGACACAGATGCCTCGGACGGCATTGCTGACCTGCCCCAAATGGAAGGCGAATCACTGGCTCCTGAGCCATTAAAGAATAAGCGTAAGAGAGTAAGGAATGCGCGCATACCCTCCGCCCCCAAACCGGAAGGTGACCAAATGCTCAAGAAGCAAGCGTCTGCTTTGGAAACACCACCTGGTGTTGCACTTCCCTCAGTGATACCTGAGGTGCCGTCGTCTTCGGGCTCATCGATGTGAGACCGAAGACGACAACCACGTGGCGTGGATAGTAGAGCATGCGGTGTAAATACACCTCGTCGAGGCGCTTCTTACACGGATAGCAGTGAGATGTTCAGAAACGTCACTGAATCCACTGCAGCTCTTCCTACCGAGCGCATGCTTGATGGTCTTGATGGGCTTAAAGTTTGCGTGACCAGGCTTTTACCACCAGGTTTCCCTGGCGCTACTGTCAGGAAGCTCATCAGATTGGGGAACGTTCTGGTTGGCCAACCAAAGCCTCGACCCCGTCTGCTTAAGGTGGTCCTCTCCACCCCAGAAGAGCGCAGGACCTTCCTGAGATTTGCCTTCAAACTCAAAGGTACCAACGTTAGCGTGCGACCAGACCTTCCGTTAGCGGATACGTTAAAGTTAATGGAAGCCACCAGAGACCTAAAAGCCCGGCGTGCAGCTGGCGAGCAAGGTCTCCGATCGGTGGGCTTTCAGGTGGTCAGCCGGCGGTCCATTTCCTCCCTGCCAGAAGCTATACTACTTGCGCACGACCCAGGGCTGGCCGTGCCGAAGCCCTCCAAGTAGTACTTAGTAACGTGCGTGGCCTGAGGAACAAGATGTGCGAGGTGGGTCTGCTCGTAGACAAATCTCGTCCAGATATACTTGCTTCCACTGAAACGTGGCTGTCTGGGGAAATCACAGATAGCGAATTTTATCTGCCTGGCTACGCAGTGTTTCGCTCTGACCGCTCCATTAGCCGTCAAGGCGGTGGTGTACCTCTTTATGTGAGTTAGCACATCGACGTATTGAGGACCAGCGTTTTTCAGTCTTTCGACAAATTTGTTGAGGCTCATGCAGCCTTGAGTTGCGCTTCCTCGGTTCAGGTTACAGTTGTGTTAGTGTATAGAAGCCGTATGAGCACCACCAATGGAATCGTTGACTTTATACGCACTCACTCTGCGAACCAGTGTCTGGTTTTGGGAGACTTCAATCTCCGAGGTGTTTGTTGGGATGATCTATCTTGCAGTTCGACGCTGGAATCGTTCGGTACAGAACTGCTGGACTTGACGCTGCAGGTACCACTACACCAGTTCGTGGACCTCCCCACTAGGTACATGAGCAATCAGCAGCCGTCCATTTTAGATCTTATTTTTGCTAAGTCACTTGACTTTGTAAATGACATTAAATATGACTCGCCTCTTGGCGCTAGCGAGCACGTTTGCTTGTCTTTCCAGTGTGCTCTTACCAGGCCTTGCCAAGCTACTACCAGTTGGTATCCGAACATTTGGGCCGCGGAACCAAGCGATGCGGGATAAAGCTAGGTCATCGCGTTGTGTGATAGCGGAGAACGATACTGTTCACATAGCCTGGGAAAAACTTAAGGCTCACCTCGTAGACATTTCTGCACCTCACATCCCCTGGTACAAAGAAGGGAATCGAGAGCGCAGCCTCCGTGGATAGATTCCGCTGGGAAGGGCCTGCTAAAGAAGCGGCCTAGATGCCGGCGAGCATACCGAACAGCTCCGTCGAAAAGCATGTTTGACAAGTATCGGTTGGTTCGAGATGAGTGCAAGCTGCATCTTGGGTTGGCCCGGCTTCAGTATGAAAAGTGCTTGGCTAATACTGCCTCAAAAATCCCAAGAAATTCTTCACTTAGGTTAAACGACGCTGCGGTGCCAAATCGCCCATACCACCATTGCTTCGAGGAGATAAGACCCATGCCTATAGCGACTATGACAAGTCATGCGTGCTTGGTAAGCAGTACGCAAGCGTCTTTGTCCGCGAAACAAATACGTCTTGCAAAGAGTTAGCTTCAAGGGTCTCTGAGGACTGTTGTCTGAATGAAATTCCTGTAACTGAGTCCCAAGTTCTCCGGTTGCTAAGAGAGGTAAACACAATTAGGGCTTCCGGGCCAGATTCTGTTCATTCACAATTGTTGCATGAATTGGCAGCGGAACTCAGTGGACCTTTGACTTGTGTGTTTCAGAAGCCACTCCACAGCTGTATCTTGCCCACCCAACGGAAGGAGATTGTTGTCTGCCCGATTTTCAAGTGGGGTGACAAAGGCCTACCGGCTAGTTATAGGCCTGTCAGCTTGACAAACGTGGTCGTTAAGTTCCTTGAAAAATTAGTACGAGATACAGTGGAGAACCATTTAAATAGGTTAAACCGGCTTAGCGTAAAGAAACATGGTTTTCGCAAAGGATTTTCGTGTCAGACGGATTTGCTGGTCTGAAGCCCTAGACAGGGGACATGCGGTGGATATGGTGTTCATTGACTTCGCCAAGGCCTTTGAAACTGTTCCCCATTCGCGACTCTCACTGAAGTTGAGGTCGTATGGTATAGCTGGTCGCGCTCTCCGGTAGGCGTCAGCTTTTCTGGATGGAACGGAACAGTGTATTCGTGTGGGAAGAAGTCTTTCGTTTTGACAAGTTTTACATAGCGGCGTTTCGCAAGCCTCAGTCCTAGGACCCTTGCTTTTCTCAGTATACCTGAATGAATTGCCGGAGGAGCTTGAGGTACCATCGCTCTTATTTGCTGATGAACTGAAGCTCTGGGATATGGTTGTTATCCCTGGAGGTCCTGTGGCTGGTCCTGTGACTCTGGGAATGATCCGTCTTGTGGTTTCTGCCCATACACCGGGCAAAGAGTTCAGTGCTGCGTATCGGAGCGTCTGATTCCTTCACAAATAATGTGCTGGATGGGTGCAAACTTCCTCACGTGACTCATCAGGTTGACCAAGATGGCTGCCACTGTTCTACACTGCACTCTGGAGACACCTGGCAGAAGGTGGCTGGTAAAAGTTTCCGGAGGTTGTGGTTTATCCGTCGTTATTTTGGAACCCTAACCGCTGCTGTGTTGGTGGAGCTCTTCTCGGCGTTTGTGCGACCCCACCCAGAATATTGCGTCCCGGCCCGTCCATCATGCCTTGTCCGGGACAAAACGGCACTAGAACGGGTGTTGCGTGTCGGTAGTAGGTTGGTCAAGGGAGTACGGGGGCAAACGTACCCCGAACGCCTACTTAGTTTGAGGATGCCGTCAATGAACTATCGAAGGATCAGAGTAGACCCAATCCTAACCTACCGTATTTTGACTGGGAAGGTTGGTCCTGATTTGTCCATGCTATTTAGTACTGCTAGATTATCTGTTCTTCGCGGGCATTGTATGAAGCTGGACAAACCGCGGTCCGATCGAGTTAGAGCGGAGACACGGTTCTCACCACGGGTCATCGAGCGCTTGAACCTGCTTCCAGAAAATGTTGTCAAGGAATCTACGGTTAAGGGGTTTGCGCGTCAACTAAACGCTCTTGGGTGGCAACACGAAACTTTCCCTTTTCCTGACTAATTCCCATCTTCATACTTGGATTCTATTTTCTTTACTTTTCCTTGCCATTGGTATTATTCTTTTCTTTGACTGATTCCCCCTACTCTCTTACCTTCGCTTTTTCTTCCTCTCTTACTTCACGTAACTGACATAGCTGGGACAGCTAATGTTAGGAACGTGGGCATTAAATTGGTGGACCAGGGAGCTTTTTCGTGTGTTTACCTTTTAGACCCATCAAAATGTCGAAGCACCTTTATCAACTTCTGGATCGACGACCCGCTCATGAAGGAACACTTACGGGATTCATCCTATCGTTCCAGTAACACTTGAACTTAAACTTGTATTTGAACTTGAAGTTTCTTTTTCCTAGCTGACTGACATTCAAATTCAGCTCTTTTTAATGCCTCAAATATCTTGGTACTCCACTTGCTTGGCTCGTTCTACTTTCTCCTTTGCCTGCTGAGTTTATGTTTTCTCTTTCTTACTTCACGGAACCGACCCAGAAGGGACTGCCAGAGCAGGATACATAGGCATTAATTGTTTGACGGGGTGCAATGCGGTCTTGCTTTTAGGTCCAACGGTAGTTCAAAGTTCGCCAACGTCTGGTTCAACGACCTGGCGAAGAAGGAGCACTCACGGGATATTCTTATCGTTCCTGATCTCAAATCAACCGAGGACACCCGGAAGAGGGTCGCATCCGCATATAGAATACTTCACGCTATACGGAGAGCCTTTTCACGCCTGACCCCAGCACTCTTCAGATTACTGTTTGCTTCTCATGTACGCCCAGTTCTCAAATACGGATTGCCTGCTGCGTACCCGCTCACTAAGTCCGAACGTGACATGATCGAGAAGGTTCAACGGCGTGGATCCAAATACGTTCCAGAGCTTCGGGACTTATCCTACCTCCTCCGGCTACAACGGTTGAACCTGTTCTCTTTGGATTATCGTCGTCGCCGCGGAGATATGATATTCACCCGGCGTATTCTACGTGGTGAGCTGGGGAGTGAGCTGCAATCGCTTTTTTAGTCTAAACACAAGTTGTGCAACTCGAGGCCACCGGTGGAAACTTTTCAAACCGCGGAGACTCCGTGTACGGTCCGATATGGCCCTATCCACCCGGGTAGTGAATGACTGGAACAGCTTGCCAGAAGCTGTCGTCGATGCGGAGACGGAGGAAGGTTTCAAACGACGGTTGGCTACCCACTCTCTGAGTGCGCAGGGATTCTGCTGCCCACAATACAACCATAGCGATCTGCTAAACCTTGTTCCGCAATGATCCCAGCAACCCTCGCAATGTCCGGGAAGTGACGGAGCTGACAAAGGAACTTCCTTCTGCTCTCTACTAACCAACGAACCAATGAACCAATGAACCTGTCCCGCTTGAACTTGGACTTGAACATGACCTTGCATTTCGACCTAGACTGCGAATAGCGAACGCCTCTCGAGATGACTACTCGTGATCGCACTGTGACAACTCAGTTCCGTCGCAATGTACGCTAGGCGTATCGCGGTACGTCAGTCATCATTTACTTATTAAATTGCTTTTTTATAGCCTCGTCTAGCGTCTTATGGATTCTAATGCGTGTTTTACCTTGTTTATTTCTGCAATATCTTTCCTTCTGTTTACGTCTAGCCCTTTCATTTAGGCGCGCATGCGGTCACTCGTAAGAATATGAAGTAAACAAGGGAACAAATATCGCTGCGTCCAAGTTTAATATTACTAAACAGCAGTACCGGCGAATCGCACGAGAGGACCAAGTGTTCAGCTGGGCCATAGTTTTATGTTTATTTAGTTCGTGGATTCATTGTATATTAGTAAACAGAAGGAGATATTTTATTCGTCTTGCTATCCTAAGATCATTGGGTGGACAGCCCTAGTCGATGCGAGCAGGAGTTTTCTAAGTAACCATTATAGTCACCAGCCTACCGTCTAGATCGCGGGGATTTGATTTTCACACGGCGTATCGTTAGAGGGAAACTTGGAGTTGAATTGCAGAATTTCTTTCCACTCAATTCTTTCATTTCGACTCAGGGTCACCATTGGAAATGGTTCAAACAAAGGAGACTTCGGGTCCGTTGTGATGTCACTCTGTCTACCAGAGTAGTGAACGAATGGAATAATCTACCTGTGTATATCGTTGATGCGCAGTCGGAGTCATGTTTCAAACATCAATTGGATCCTTACCTGTTGAGTAAACTCGGATCTTGTTGCTTCTTGTGTCAATGCAGCGGTTCCATTGGAACCGACTTGCAATATCCACCTTGATCCCTGACGAACGGGAGACGATGGAGCTGACAAAGGATTTTTCCTTCTGCTCTCTACATTCCAGTGTTCCAATGTTTTTTAGAACGTAGCGGGCGGGTTTTGGTAAACAATTCTATTCATTGTCCACGAGTAGGTACAGCAACATCGCACCGTGATCGGATCCCACCCAGCTTCAATAGTTCCCAGCTGCGTTTGTCGATACGAGTGACCAGCTTCCGCAACCGTAGATTACTATTGAGCGGAGGTTGACGTTGCAGACTGTACGCTTCAAAGCGAGAGTTATGTAACGTCTGCACCGTAAGTGATAATGCTGAACAAAAGCGCTACCTTCCTGCTACCTTATTTGGACTTCATCTGTTTTACAAGCTTTGATCCATCTGACTGGATGGTTGAATTTCTGTGCGACTTCTGACTGACCCCAACATAGCACAATACAAGTAGTATAATGGCAGCTGCCTGTACAATAGACATGGTTGGTGGCATTGGGTTTCGGACTTGTCTGTCACTTCGGGTTCCATAGGACAGCCACAGAACGCTTGCGCTTGCGTTGCACCAACCACAGCTCCATCCAATCACCCAAAATACAGTGTAAACCCGAAGGAACAAGACCGCGAGGCATGTGGATGGGAACCACGTTTCAACCACACAGCCAGCCCACACTCAATCAACATGCACAGTAGCAGCATTCCTGTCTAACTGTGGGAAATCATTCTGCCTAGACATACGCATTTCGGTGGATGGGCCGTAGTCCGCTCCATACTGGGTCCGATTAGGAGACGGTAGCAGACGCGCTACTGGTGTCGGTTGCGAGCCATGTCCTGTAAAGTCTCGGGCCAAGCACAAGGCGAGTCACGTGGACTCCAGCCCGGAAAACCAGACGGAGCAACGGCACCCAGTTTGGTCGTCAGTAACTTCATTTCCCCCTGCCAAGTCAACTTCTGTCCACCTCGAGCCTTGCGTCACCCAACACCGGGTAGACTGGACAAGACCTGTAGTGGAAAGGCCAAACGGAAAGGGCTTAACTACATATAATAACTCAGTCTATAAATAAGAATGCTGTAGCTGACCTTAGGTAAAGCACGATCTTCGCTAGGCTGTCAGTTAGTCGCACAATCTGGTCGGAAGACGGAACTTAGTCGGCACAATAAATCGACGCGTTAGATCCGATAATCCATGGACGAGGCCAGCAGACAGACGACGACAAACAGCACAACACGGAGCCGAAACCAGAAGGCGAATCGAAACCCGAAAAGGTGTTTATCGGTTGTTGGTCAGTTAAAACAAAATTGTACAATAATAATAGAAATGAGAATAGGAAAGTACAATTGGGAAGAAAGATATGTACAAGCGCTACAGAACTCCCCCCCTAGAGCGTGAGTCACTGAGACGAAAGCTCGCTACTTGGGTATCATTTACCCTAGTCTGGAAGGGAGAACAACTGTACGTCCGAAGCGTGTTCGAAGATGCGATTTCGAGTTTGTGTCATGAGATGATTGGGGTGCAGAAGAGGGAACAGGGGTGTCAGACATGGGCTGAATAGGAGGCGTACTTGGGAAGGTGGGCTGGTCGGTGACAGGAATGTCTGTGGGTTTCGGTATAGGTCACGACTCGATGTACGCCGGCTTCAGGCGGTCGATAGTCACAGTATCCTGATAACCATTTCTATCCAGCACGAAGTACTTCTCTTTCCGAGCAACAACCTTGAAGGGGCCCTCGTAAGGCGGTGTCAGGTTTATAGACGGAATCGACGCGCACGAGAACGAAGGGGCAAGTGCGCAAATCCGGGTGTACCTGTTGACTCCGAGGACTGATTTGAGGTGGCGTTGGACGAATTGTACTGAAGTGCTGCCTCAGGCGTGTGACGTACGAGGTCGGATCAACTTCTCCAGTAACCCTTGAGTCTAGCACCATTTCTCCAGGAAGCCTGAGAGTAGTGCCAAAGACCAACTCAGCGGGACAACAGCCAATGTCTTCTTTAATGGTGTTACAAATACCAAGCAAGATAATCGGTAGACGTTCTGACCATTGTGAGTTCGACTGTGAAGCAGTAAGTGCAGCTTTAAGTTAACGATGGAAACGTTCAACGATGCCATTAGCAGCTGGGTGATAGGCGGTTGTCCGTAGGTGAGAACAACCGAGCAAGCGGTTCATGTCACGAAACAAGGCCGAATTGAATTGGGACCCTCTATCGGTAGTAATAGTGGCTGGTGTGCCAAAGACGGAAATCCAATTCTCAATGACTGTTCGCGCCACCGGTTCTGTAGAAGCATCACGTAAAGGCACGGCAAGTGGCCAACGCGTATAACGATCGACACATGTCAATAAGTAGACAAAACCGTTGGATGGAGGCAAGGGTCCAACGATGTCAAGATGAACATGTTTGAAACGAGCGTCGGGAAGAGCAAACGTGCCGGGAACGGTAATCGTTTGACGGTGGACCTTGCTGGTTTGACAAGTGATACAATGTTTGGCCCACTGCTGGATCTCGGAGCGTATGTTGTGCCAAATGAAGCGATCAGTAATTAGCTTGACGGTGACTCGGATGCTCGGGTGTGAGATTCCATGCAGGTGGTCAAAGACAATTCGGCGGTACTGCTGAGGGACAAAAGGCCTGGACTTGCCAGTAGAAATATCACCGTAAATTTTTGAGTCTGAGTTAAGGATTGGCAACTGTGATATTTTGATCGACAGATTTGATCTCAGTTGCACAAACTCAGGATCTCCTTCCTGATGAGCTGCTATGTCTTCTAATTTAATCTTCTGCCATGAAACTTCGTGAAGACATATACGCGACATGGCATCGGCGACAACGTTATTGGCAGCATCGACATGGCGAATGTCGGTAGAAAACTGTGAAATATAATCCAAATGACGAATTTCTCTGGGGGAGAAACGGTCGGATGAACCACGGAAAGCAAAGGCAAGTGGTTTATGGTCTGTAAGAATGGTAAATGTGCGACCTTCAAGCAGGTGCCGAAAATGTTTGATAGCGAGGTAGATAGCTAAAAGTTCTCGACCGAATGTGCTGTATCGCGTCTGTGCTGGCTGGAGTTTACGAGAGAAAAAGGATAGCGGCTCAGGTTGACCTTTGATTACCTGCTGGAGAACAGTCCCAACGGCGGTCTGAGATGCATCAGTCTTGAGGATCAGAGTGGCGTCAACATCAGTCCTCAAATGACTAAGCGCGGTAGCGTTGGACAACGCGTGCTTGATCTTGTCGAATGCATCGATAGCTTCCTGAGTTGGCTCAAATTTTCGTGACCTGCCTTTAAGTAAATCGGTCAATGACTGGAGTAGCCCAGAGCAATCTGAAACGGCTGTAGTAATTCACCATGCCGAGAAAACGACGGAGACTTTTGAAAGATTGAGGCATGGGGTAGTCTGCAATCGCTCGCGCTTTCTCGGGGAGTGGACTAATGCCATTGCAATCAATTCGGTGGCCCAAAAAATCAACCGAACCTTGGCCAAAAACACATTTGTCAACATTGATCGTAACGCCGTACTGAGCAAAGCGTTCGAAGATCGATCGGAGATGTGACAGATGCTCATCATGATTGGAACTGGCCACAAGAATATCGTCAATGTAGGCGTAGACGAAGTCGAGCCCTCTAAGAACTTGATCGATAAACCTTTAGAAAGTCTGTGCGGCATTTCGTAGACCAAGTGGCATGCGAACGAATTCATAAAGACCAAATAGCGTGGTTATAGCGGTCTTCGGAATATCGTCGGGAGCAACCGGAATTTGGTGGTATGCACGCACCAAGTCAATCTTAGAGAAAACTGTTCTTTCATGTAAACCAGTTGAAAAATCATGGATGTGCGGAACCGGATATCTATCAGGGACGGTGGCATTGTTTAGTGCACGGTAATCTCCGCAAGGTCTCCAGTCGCCACTGGACTTTTTGGGAACCATATGAAGCGGGAGGACCATGGGCTATTGGAAGGACGAACGATACCGAGACTAAGCATATGTTCGAACTCTGCCTTGGCAGTAGCGAGCTTGTCTGGATGTAATCGTCGAGGTCGGGCGGTTACTGGCGGCCCACTTGTTAAGATGTGGTGCGTAACTTCGTGCTTAGGCTCAGGAAAGTCATTAGACGATTGACAAAGAGCAGGAAACTGCAGTAATAGTTTGGTAAACACATTGTTGGCGGGCAATGCCAAGCGAAGACCGATCGAACTGATCGAAGTGACTTTACCCGAAACGGACAAGGATGTCAAACTATCGCATAGTTTACGGTTAC